TTCATCCACAAAATTCTGTTTGCCGGCTTAAGACAGTGTAGCTTGTCAAAAGAACTATGAAAACATTTTCAATTACGTACCAACGAAATTTTTCTTTTAGCATTCCTGCACCGATCACTGTGGTAAGTCGTGATTTAAAATTTGATTACTATTAATAACCTGGCTTCATTCCTCAAGTTTACAATTTTAAATTTATTTAAGTCCTTTCAATTAATAACTGTTCTCGTGCTCGTTACTTTTCTGTCAGCGGTATCAGCACAGCAGAGTCATAATTTTCATAAAATCCTCTGTAGCATTCGGCATTATCGTCATGTTCGCGAAAACATCAGGTGTCATACTTGTCGAGGCTTTCAAGTTAAACTTTCGATAAAGAATCTTATAAAATTATTTTTAATTAACCCGTAGTTTGTTTCATTAAAATCTCCACCAGAGATTCTGCTTGCTTCGTTTGAAGTTTGTATTCACAGATTTCAGACCATCCATATTGCAATTACTAGCATCATTACCAAATAATTTTTCGTATACCACGCGTACGCGAAGATGAGCACATTGTACATCACCGCCACTGCAAGGCCAGTTGACGAGTGGAAAGGTTTCTTTGCTTCTCTGTCACCAGCATCGATCATTCCATCGTTAAAATGTTGTTTCTTTGCCTTTTTCGCTTTTTTAGCACTAGCTGATGACAACTGGTCCAGCGATTCCACTAGATTCATTTTAAATGCCGCACTTTTTCCAAAACTATTTTGTACGATGCAAACTAGGCGTCTTCGAATTTTCATTGTCTGAGCGATTTTGATCGGCAGATGTTTGATTTCACTCATGCGCGTTAAAGATTATCAGGAAGAAACTTGCCTGCGAGATAAATTCACTTGATAACTAGACGGCACTTTGCGATCCCTCTGTTATCCTTCAGATACGATGAATCAAAAGTTGCAAATTTTTTTTAAACTTCTTAACCTCGTAGATATGTCCTTTACTAATAACGCGTTTGCTATATCATTCCCTGAAAATTACGTTAAAGAATTTGGTGTTTTGTTAAGACAACACTTCTTACTGATTATTTCGGTGAATTCTCAGAACTTGTTCGATAAATAATGAATTGACTTTGCGAGAAAACGTTGAATGATTTTTCACCTTTTATGGGAGTTACAAGATAGAGCTGATTACCTGCTTTAAACAGAAAATTTCTACTAAAAACGACAAAACAAAAACGAAAAGACACATAGAAGCTAATGCACATTGTTTGACTTATGGCAAGCGCACATTGTAAAACACACCCTTGCGGCTATACGATAACTGATTTGTCTTCCATTCACCAGTCACGGTATGTGGGGATAAAACCACAGAAGAGACCATACAGCGGAGCCTATGCTAAAAACTTAACTCTAAAACAGAGGATTGTCTCGCACTCGAATAATTTTCCGGTAAAAGATGACGATTGTTTTTATGTTTTGTTTTGTCTTTCATGCGAATTTTAAAAAAAGCATACTCGACACCTTTATTGTAATGACTGTCTTGGATATATTTGGTAATCCATATCAGAAGCTTGCGCATGTGAATGTCTGATTTTGGTTCTGTGGTCTGCGTTTTGCTCGCAATCGGCTATCAGTAAGTTATAAAAAAGTAACCGCAGGAAAATAATGTTTTGACAAGTACAACTCTCGTAAATCTTTCAGTTATTAGATAGTTATTTTTAATGCTTTTATTTCGTCTTCTTTCTTTTATATGAATAACGTGTGAATGAGACTGTTCAGTTTTGGTTAGCAGCAACTGTATTGGAAATTTAGATATTTCAAATCCTGAAAATACAAACTGATTATTAAAGTCAGATAATTACATCACAAATTCAGTGTTATATCTGCTTTTGTTTCCCGCGTAAAAAAAGAAAAACATTTGCTTAAATTCCAATACCTGAGACCGTAATTCAATCCAGATATCTATCTTGGTCCAATCTGGATTTTTCTTTCTTTTCGTCTAATCGCTATAATGCTGTCGGGGTAAAGTGCCAAAAACAAAAATGGGAAAATTAAAACACGCAAATTGGAAGGTGTCAGGCAATGCACTGTTCATCCAAGAAAACTGTGCATGTATTAAAAATTGCCTTTGAAATATGAAAGGAGACCTGTATAAATTAGTTCTAATAAAGTTAACTCACAATTTAAAGCGTGTTTTTAAGAACTATAAAAATCTTAAGGGAGAATTAATGTGCGCAATCCTAAACCCTATGCCCAACTCAGTCCCAACCCTATGGTTGTGATTTCTATTGCGCTTCTCATTCTTTCCCTTAGCTTTTTTTTGCAATCTTCTTTGACCATAACATGGCAATTAGCTGCATGTCCTAGATATAATTTGCTCAACCATGACGTTGGCCGATGTGAAATCTCTTTGTGAAAATAAGCTGTGAAAATCAATTCGATTTGTTTTCGCACCATCGGGTGAGCGACATCCCGGAAATCTTTTGAACTGTGTCCTCTGATGATCTTTAGATATGCCTTCAGGGAAGATCTATTTTCATCATAATTTCGTAAATAGCCTCAGCTACCCGTATCTAAGCTGGAATATCTAGAGTTCTCAGTAAGCAAATTGGAAACCATTCTATCGAGGTAAGATTGCTCCTTCAATTATCTTTTATAGCATCGAATGGTTCGGTAAACTTTGTTTTCGAAGCAAAGAGGTCTGAGGTAAATAAAACTAATGGATTTCAATCGATAACATCTTTGTTCGACGTGCTCAGACGATTAATGTCGGGCCATTTAGAAGCAACTTTCTTACTGAAAAAATTCTCGGTAGAAGTTAACCAAATCGATAGAGGCTCGTACAGATTGACGGCCGAGAGTGGTCATTTGAATTTAATTGTCCCAACCCTATGGTTATGCGGTTTTGTTCGTTCAAATTTACTGAAAGAGAACAGGACGTTTTTCTGTACAAATTAAAGAATAATGTCCGTGCGATTGGAAGCCATTAAGCTTGACTTTCGCACTATCAGCCAAATACCAACAGCTTATCAACTTGAACGAATTATTCCATAAGTAAATCACCGCACATTAGCCTAATGAGCTTTGAGCTTTCTTAGGAAATATCTACACTTCTTTGAGTAAGATCCTCTCCCTGTTCTTGGCATATCTTCAAAAAAGTTACACCCTTGCCCTTGTCTGTTTCCGGTTCTATTCTTATTTTCAAACAGCACGCTAGCTTTCCAATGATCTAATTGTGAGGGGCCGCCAAGAATTTGTCAGGAATACAACACGTTTAGTACCAACAAAATGATTTGGTTATAGTGTAGCCGTGAATTCATGTATTTCCTGACCAGTTCCTTTTTCTTTTCTTTATTGCGGTCTGCCTTTGTCGACTAAGCCTTCACAGATCTGGCTCCGATTGTTCGAAGAGTGAATAGCGCTATCTACTGGATAAATATCTTTCCGGTAGATAGTGCAGTACGTTTTGTTACTGAATACTTATCCGCTCAGGATGGCGTTTTATCCGCTCTTTAAACAACTGGGCCCAGAAGACCAGCACCGAAAGAAAGACAACAGGCTTACGAACAATCTCTGTGTAAAAGCATTAGGTCATGTCCATTATTGTCTGTCCTTGTCTCTTCTCGTCCAGTGCTTCATCAAGCTTAGTGAACGAATGTGTTTAAGCTGAATTTGACGCCATCAAATTTTCGATGTCATCGTCATGCGATTAATTTAAATTTAAAACATAAATAAATGAATAAAGAATGCCGAAGAACATTAACAACAATGCTTTTTTTCGAAATTGGATATTTGCGGTCGGGGCTAATTATGGATATCAACCACGCCTTTCTAAGTGATTCTCTGAGAGTCAAAAACATAAATTTCAGGGTCACATTCCTGAGATTTTGCGTACAAATGTCGAAAACAACATGTGTAAATATGTTTTGAAAAATTTGTGTTCATTTTATGGAGTCGATAAAAAGATTGCACCGTTGAATAATGAGCAAACTCTAGAAAATCAAATAAATGCAAAAATTAAGTTGTTTATCGCCATCGGTCATTCTTCTAACGGACATCCGAAAATAAAACCAAAACTAACGCAGGGTGAGGCCAACACATCAATATTCAGGTAAAAATCTTCTAAACATTTGTTTTTCCGTGCTCGAAAGGATTGATTACCGCTAAAATAAAGGCGGAGTGACAGTACTCTCAATCAAACCACTCCAAAATATTCCCTAACTTCTGCTCTATTCAGTCAACACAACGATCGAAATATAAGGCAGTGCAAATAGGTAAATTTTGCCCATCTACGCGCTAATTTTCCGCGTGACATTTAAGAGGAAAATTTACAGATGAAACTAAAATGAGGGAGGGGCAAGTGGGAACGGGGAACTGGGAACAGGTAATCGGAGAATTGTTATGAGGTAGTCCGCATAACAATTAAAAATGTCTGAACCCCAGTTTTGAGCATGCGCTCTCCGAGCTCGGTCGTTATAGCAATCAGCATTGGACGATAAATGAAGTTTTTATCGAGGGGTTTTGAACAACACCTTTTAATTCATAAAATTGTATTTGTGCAGGAGACCAAGTAATGAGCTCCTGATTTGTGCTTATATAAATTGCAGGTGTCAAAGAAATCGAGTTTTCAAAAAGGTGGGTGTCTGAGAATCAATCGTAACATCTGATAGAAGACCTCATTAACTGCCGTTTATGGAAATCTGAGATAGGAAGCCAAACTAATGGAAAGGAAACGTTGAGATTCTCGTACATAAAGGTTATCTAATGATATATATGTACTCTTTTGATTGAACATTTTGTTTGGAGCTTTACTGAAAAGCTAAGCGCCTTTAGAACACCATGAATCACCAGTTTATGAGGTTTATGGCCCGAAAGAACTCTGTCAGGTCGTGCTTTAAGACATTTCATTGTTGCAATGTGCGCTCACACCGGCGCAGACTTTTATCTGCTGTGATCATTCGTCCAGCTGATGGTTGAGGCCACACCCAAAAATTGATATATTCGTCAGAGAGCCAATTGTATCTGTCATTCACCGCAATAGCGAATATGACATAAATTTATAGGACCAAGCTCATAAGTGTAAAATGAACCACAATTCCTGACCCTGATGATAGTTGTAAAATGACAGCAATGATTTGACCAGTGGAAACACACTTGTCTGGTCACAATCCCTTCATGCTCCTCGGGATGTAATCCGTTCAGCCAGCTTGGCGCATGTGTATTGCATCTGTAAGGAGGAACACACGTTGTCGCCATCTTAGTTCCAGACTCCTCGCTGAATCGGTACCACGATCTCTCTTTTAGACGGTCACACTTGATTTCATTCGCAGGAAAAGAACGGCGTCTGTCCGCCTCTGTGAACCACTTGTACCCAACACAGCCTAAATTTAGGCCAACGATATGAAAAGAAAAGATGTAAAAGCCCTTTCAAGGTGTTTTAAGATTGCTCGGTGACTTTTCCTGGCTAAAATTGATGCAGGACGTTTTCTCTCAGAGACTTTCAAAACATATAAAGAAGCCATTAAGATTGATCCCCGCTCCATTCCCCATGAAAACCATGTGGTCCACCCACGCCCCCCCCTCCCCCCTAGGTGACAAATAACGACAGGTCTCTGACTTATTTACTCTAACTTAGCGGCCCAAATTCGTAATTTCATTCCGAAAAAATGCATGCCCTTTTTCTTTTATTTTATGGCTTTTTCAAATCATATACCTACCTACTGGTGAGCAACTTGTTTTTCCATTTCCAAAGAATCCCTCTTTACAGGTACATTTGTATGAGCCCACGGTATTATGACACACAGCATCACTATGACAACCATGTAAAGATCTACTTTTGCATTCATCGATATCTGAGACGACAAAACGGCAAAATTGTGGTTGAAGCTTAAAAAAATAGAGCAGTAATGGAATGTGTCGTAAAATGACCCTAACGCTGAACTGGACACTACCCTGAGAGATCAAGAAGTCATTACTGAAGGTCAATGAAAGAAAATTTTTATCCATCAATTTTGAAGTAAACCAGGTAAAAATTGAATGTCGAAAATATCATATCTACGTGATGTAGAACAAGTGATGATTATCATCCGCTTTCCAGATAGTGTATTCAACTTGTGAGGAGAATTTGCTCGTTGAAAAAATTTTGGCAGTTACAAAGTGGACGCTTCCGGTGATTACAAGTTTCTGCCATAGAGTGGGAGAGAAAGTGTGTGCAGTTTACAGCGGCAGCTTAGACAAGTACTCACCATTTGATTCGCCGACATCACAATTTACCAAACTCGCTTTTCCTGAATTAACAGACGATTGTATCCAGAATCCACCGCTTCTCATAGCTGCTCCTTCACTTCGTTTTATCTCTGCACAAGATTCTGCGGGTAACTCAGGGATAGAACCCAGAGGAACTAGAGGGAAAATAAAAAAAAATAAGAGGAAAAAAGGAAAAAAACAGGGACGAGAATAAATAAAAACTGCATGTTGTCGAACCATCTGTTGCAAAAGAATTTCGTGACTCGAATTTATCTCCGAATCCGAAATCATTTCGCACAATAAACACGTATGTCCCAGATTTGCGAAATCTGTTATTAGTTACCTCTCTTTTTCCATCGTCTCACGTAAAGGCATTCTTTATTTGTGACAAAGTCCTCTGGCCTAGCCTCCTTTGTTCGTTTATTCAACTCACAAATGTCCTTTAATGGGACAAGGTTTAAGCTTTGGCATTTGTCGTCTTCGTTGCATTCCTGCACACATTCTGAGAGGCTTTTAGCCTCAAGAGTCTTGAATGTGTGACCGCGAAGCATCATGCCATGGATAGACGATTCTCTCCCACAATTCGTCGTGGTCACTTTGGAAAGCTGCGTCAGTATGAAGATAACTCGGATGACGGAAAATTGAAGACCGGTCATGTTGCTCAACTTTTGTATTTTTAATTCTTATCTGAAAGAGAGATAATACTCAAGATATCGCAAAGATCAAACTTTCGGCTTCCGTCTAAAAACCTTTCCTCTTAGATTGCTAGTCGGTTTGGTTCCCAGCTGAAGTTGCTAGCAGTTATCCATCTTAAGATATACGAAACACCCTTGAATGAATGTGAAATATTTAAACCTTAGTCAATGACTTTCCAGAAATTTTACTGTGATGTACATCGAAAGTTTGGACATCTTTTACTGCAATTGATTCTCATGTGCCAAAAGAAAAAAAAAACAAACTATATGTTCATGTCATTCCTTCACCTCGTCGTTTCCATAACATTTCCACTTCATGTTACCCTTAGACTTAAAACTTGTTTTATTAAATTGTAATGATACATACGTCCTTTCGATAAATGAGGCGATAATTTATAAGATGAAATAAATCAGCCAGTTCAGTAAGGATAAAAACCTTTTTTGGGAGGTGTGTGCTCCATTAGCCGTTCATGAAATCTTCAATACCTATCCTAGGTATCCTTTTTCAAACAACAGCTTATCTTATCTTATCTGACTTTTAGTCAGCTCACTTTATTCGCCCCTTTTTTTCATATACAGGGATCGAGATCTTGTTTAATTTTTCCTCATCCTTAATTTTTCGCTCGTTTTCCATACACATCACCGTAGAGTTTGTGGTACCTGCAATTTTCAAATACGTTTAACCCCGTTCTCTCGAAATGTGGCTCAATTAAGAAAAAGATTACGTTCATAGCTGGAAAAATATTTCGCAAAAAGTAAAAGAAAGTTTTACAGCAAACCGCTTGCATGACCTTACCGAGTCTTTTGGTTTCTTGTCGTCACGACCATTCCTGATTCTATTTCCAAGCTAAGTTATCCACTATACCTTGAAAAATGCGATTTTTTCTTTCTTTTCGTGTGAAAATAAATTGAAAATACAGATGTAATGAGGCCTATAGCTATAGCGGCGAGGTGGGAAACAATTTGTTTGTCCTAAAAGCTTCTCAGGCAATTACTATCGTTTCAATTTTAAATAAAGGGAATAAAAGAATACAAAACAAGAAAGAAACAATAACGCCATTACTTCAAGCCCCAGCCCTTGCATGCAAATTGTTCTCTGCGTCCGATTTCAAGTTGTAATACATGAAAAAATTATGCGCATCTGATTGGCTGAAACCGAGTGCATTTTTCGTGGAACACGAGTGCTGAGTTGTAACAAGACTGCAAACTGCAAATAGCATGGGTTGCCAAAATTTTGTCCGTCTTGACTTTCTAGGATGCGTTTCTCACGTAAATTATTAAAAAGTAACAACATGATTTCGAGTGCAATTTGGTGTTAATAAGCACCTATAAATTTTTCAAAGACTACAAATTGCACTCGCGCTACGGGCTCGAAAAATTTTGTTAGCTTTGTTTATTAACACCAAATTGCATTCGAAATCATGTTATTACCTACACAAGACTATTGAAAGTGCCTTTCGTTGGTTCGATTTTTGACAAGTTCTTTTCATTTTCTTTCACCTAATTGTTTTCATTCTGAGCTTATTTCTGGGGATGAATGCTTTTCACGCAATTGTTTTTTACAATCATCAATTTTCATTTTTTTTTGTTTCTTTTTGTATCTTTGGACTTTGCCTCCTTCATCGCCTTAATAGAATTGTTTTATTGGTTCCTCGTGCTAAAACCGTTGGACTAATGGCTGAGACCTCGAGACAATTTAAGTGTATTTACTGTTACCTCCATGGATTGCAGCGTGCTATTTGGAGAATTAGGAAGGAGACGGTCTCCTGATAATCTTCGTTTGGAAGGATTGACTCTGGATTTGCAAAAATCGTAGTAATAGTGAAAAGGAGTGTGGCTGAGTGAATGTGAGTGAATGTTGACCGCTGTGAGAGGCATTTCTGGAGCATCATTGATTCACATCGAAAACACATTTTTCATCATTTGACACATCTTTTCACATCCTTCAAAATTTGCGATCTCACCTTTCGTTGAATTTTTATCCTCTCTCAACTTAACATAAAATCGTTGCCTTTACTGTGTTATTTTTGATTGCTGAAAGATTTTTTTGACAACCTATCCGATAAGAGAGTAAGTGTAAAACACTTAACACTTTACAAAAAGTTAAATTCAAATAATTTTAAACGTTCGAAAGTGATCTAGAATCATATACGTAATGGACGTGCGGACACAAGATGACTTGCTCTTAAAATATCTTTATTACACTTGTTTGAAAAGCGTTCTTCTATACACAGAGTGCTCTCTTTCGATGAGCTATCTACTTCTCAAATGAAACATTACTAACCTTTTCTACCATTAGGTGATAAATAAGTCAAACTGCTGTCAGTAACTGAAAAACTGAAAATAAAAGCACTTCACTGTCGCTAAAGTAACATGGAAAATTATTCCTTTTCTTGTGGTAAATACTCTTTTTCCTCGATACTTTGATTATTCTTGGTTGCATGGTGCATAGGTTTCAAAGTGCACTCAGAAAAATACGAGAACAGTTTATATTCTCTTAACAAAAATTATTTTCGAAACCCGTGTTGCATAACTTACACCTCTCAGCATGTTTTGTTGCCGTGAAATATGTACGAATATAGAAATGCAATTACCAATCCAATACTTCGCTAGAGAGCTTCTGTACAATATTATCAGGTAATAACCGCGGTGTAAAAAATTGTCACGCTCTGATATGGTCAAGTTTGAGGAAATTTTGAATTGAATCATGAAAGTAAGCTGGGATTTCTTTGGTTTGTTTTAATTCGCTCCGTAATTGGTTCAGAAAACTTGCGCTACTTTGTCAACCAATTAGATTCAAAACTAAAACAAACCACGACTTGTTCATTCCCATTTTTCCCGCGCTTCAGACAGTTTTCCTTTTTTTTTTTTACTTACGGTTCTAGTTGGCCGCCTTTTCATTTGTTCTGATTTGGCTGTTGTAAACACAATGGTTTTGATATTACGACAAACATCGTTACCGGTCTTAATGGGTTAGGACAAGTGAAACACTATGATTATGCTTATACGCAAAGTTAAGTTTTATGTTAGGCCAAGTTGTAGAGCATCAGACCGCGAAATTGTCAGCGGTGCTAATCATGTTAGCGAAGATAACAGCCTATTTTATTTGCTAATATTGACAGTAGCCTCCACTGACAGATGCCTGTGGGCTCAGCTTGAGCAGGTACCTGTTGCCTCCAACTGGTAAAGCTGTCGATGCCGATCCCCTCAAAATTATTCTCGCTGGACCTCAAGGGGTTTATCATCCACTTCCCATTAGCTTAGCAATACTTGTTTTGTTTTGGAGTTGAAACCACATTTTTATTATAATTATCAGTTTCATCAACCAAAAAAACAGGTGATTATAAACAGTATATAATCTCTTGCAAAAAAAAACAACAACAACAAAAAAAGACTTTCTAACGGGCAAAAACACTCTTATGAATTCTGGAAGAGCAAGAACATGGACTGGAGTTATGAACATGGACTGGTTTTTTTTGTCAAGCAAAAGTTGTTTCTCTGTCTATCAGTTTTAGAAGGGGGTACAAAACGGAAATAAATATAATTTTTGCGGCTGAGCGAAGCTTGAACAAACCGTTACTTCCTCTCCTTCCTCTGACCCCTCAGTCGAACAGCGGGCTCCGTCTGTTGTCGTCAGCTTTCAGTTGTTTTATTTTCAATTTGGGTTTGCAATCTTGTTCAAGTGTTTCCATAGGCCGCTGTAAAATATCCCCAGGGCATGTTGAGATCGCAACCGGATGACACTGACGAATAGAAAGGAATACAACAGTCCAGTATTTCAAAATTCCGTTCCGTTCAGACAAGCATCACTTTTTCGATTGATTGAGTAATCAGATAAATTCGATTGGTGCACAAATAAAATCAAGAAATGTCAGAAGAAACACAGCACACTTGCTCCGTTCTCCTCTTCCCTCCCCCCTCCCCCTCCCCCCACCATTACTCTCTTTGTCATTTGTGTTCCTTTCGCGATAACGTGTTGTTCTTCCAAGTTTTGTATTGTTTCAGATGTCGACCGTGTTGATAATGTGTGTAAATCAAAGCAGAATGATTGGCTCTCTCGAGTCCAATTGGCCAATCAAATCCGATGTCTCATTTACAACTCAAAGCAAAGTATGTCAACTAAAGGTTATTAGCTGTCAAATTTTATTCCCTGTGCGACCGCGTGACATAGCTTATTGCGGAATTGGAAATTTTTCGTAAATTATTTACCGCTAATCGAGATCCTGTATTCAGCTACAGAAGCGTTTAAGCTGGTTTAAAATCGATAATAGTTGTTGGACGCGAATTTAGTTGTCTAAGGTGAGTTGTCTTCACTGTTTATGACTATAAGCTGAAGCTAAAGTTACTCAATTATCACCCGTAAGTTTCAGCAGCTGAGCTCTAAGCGAATTTTATAAGTCACAAATGACCAATTTATTACCTCACCGATTTGAGGAGAGTCAGTGTCTCAAATTCTTCTCTAAGAGAAGTGTACAAAGCGAGAATCAAAGTTGTAACTTCGAAATGTCCAAACTGCAAACAATTATCATTTTAATAGGGCATGACTCGCTTCATTAAATTACCGTAGCATGGAGTATGTTCGTTAATCAGGAAAAAAATAGTTATTATACACGGAGGTCCACAGCTGTGAATGAAACAAATCAATTTACTGCGGGACAAAAAACAAGTTGCCACACGCAGTGTTCGTATTTTAGAATATAAACTAGCTTTAATGCTCACCGAGGCGTTAAATGAGTGCTGTTATAACCGCAAATAAAGGAGAAGTAAATAACTTGCAAAGAACCATGAAAGAAAATAACTTGCTATACTAAAATTAGAAGACCTTTAGGAACGGATGACCGCGTGCTAATTACAACTTTTAAAAACATGTCCGAATGAACGGAGCAATATTAAGGTAAACAACTTGACTCGGAACTTTGAGTTGCTGCTGACATTTTGACGGCGAGCACCAAACTTAGTCAATAATTGGCGCATTGCGTCGACCATAATTAGGGTACAATCTTAAATGCTGTTTGAATGTTGTATCATCGTCCTTTCAAGTATTATTATACAGTAGTTGAGTGAAATGACTGAAATATGTCGCTTTGAATCTGGGAAATAAATCCCAAGCGTGTTATTCTTGCGTCTTCTTGTTACAAAAGATCTGCGCACGACCCTTACAATAACTTTTAAATTATCAGTTAGCCACAGGTATTTGCTCTGTGTTGTTTCTGATAATATCAAAACATTTACTGAGCATTGCACTATTTATGTGGTGTTTGCAAAGAAGGCTTTAAATGCCTCAAGGAATTTTTTCAGGCTGTTGATCAGTCATGAAATCACTAAAGCAAGAAATTTTGTTATTTATTTATTTGTTTGGTACGCCATGTTTTTTTATACAGCTCTATCACTTTCTATTATGATTTAAATTCGCATTCTGTCACGCAACAAAACAGAAAGTCTACAGCACGTGAGAGCACATGACCTTCCTTGCTTTTGGTTTTACTCACTTCCTGTGTTGAGATTTTCTCACGCTTTGCTTCGAAATGTGGAACTTGGCAATTTAAGCAAAATCATAAGCCCTCAAAGAATGAGTGGTTTAATGCTGTAATGTTTTTTATGGAAAAAATACTTAATTGATGACGAGAAACGCCTGATTGCGCAAAACTACTCTTGTGTGATTGCGTGACACCTTATGACGTCAGAGCTGAGAAGTCCCATTTCCGGCATGCCTTTAAACGGGCTGAAATTCATTGAGTTATCAGACAGTTTTAATTATATATAGAGCGAAGGACTGGATATCAATTCGGAACAGTTTGAGTCCACATTGCGCCAGAGGAGTATCATTTGTTTCGAGTCATTAAGAGAAGGTGAGGCAAGGCAAACTTCACTCCTTTATAATCGGAGTGAAACTCGAAAATTACTTAATATTGTGAAAGATACGGTTTCGAAATTCTAAAATATTTGTTCATCAAGTGATATTGCTCGGTGGAAGCTAGTTTCAGTTTTGATTCTGTCTAGGATTGCCAGCGTTTGATGAATTTGTGAATATTGCTTAGTGGTTGCAGAGATGGTATTTGGTAACAATTATACATCACTCTGAAGTGTAAACTACGTGTCTTCAAACTAAATGCGCGATGTTTAAAAGTCCATTCTTAATCTACGTTTCTCCGAGCTATTTGTTCACTGTCTAAATTTAGCTTGTATGCAGTAGCCTTTAATTCACTGACGGAATTTCTATAAGTCCGTTTCGTAATTTTAACGGGAAAATATTTGAATCCCCTTTAAAGTAGACGGTATAAGTGGATTATTTTGGAGGAACATGATCCTTTAATCTTCCTTAGGTTAATTAACATGTTCATTTCCCTGTAAAATATCATCAATCATGTGGGACTCACGAGATTTTACCAATAGCCGAAGTTGATTATTTTTGGCAGAGTTCAGCATCATACCGCCGACGGACTTGTAGAGGCTTTTGAAAAAACATGGTCATTTCCGTAAAAAACTTTCATGTCGCAAAATACAGTACGAACTTCCGCTGCTTTTAGCCCAATAGCCCCACTTCGACAACGACCAACACGGTTCGAAATATAAATTCGTGGCTTGACACGTCGGCAATCCTTGTTTGTTTTCTCGTCCCTGTGGTTTGATTTATTGGCAGTGTTTCATTTTTTATCGTCATTTAATTTTTTTTTATGATTATTCATCTAGTTATTTTTTTCAGCCATGCCTGACCAGTTTCAGAAGGAGAGTTTAGACGCGCACAATCAATACCGCGCTCAACATGGTGCCCCGCCATTGAAATGGTCCTCAAAACTGGCGTCCGATGCGGAGAAATGGGCCAAACAACTGGTGAAGTTAAATCGCCTTCAACATCACACTGGAGATGATGGCGAAAATCTTGCGTATGCTTCAGGTAAACCTATCAGGATTTTTTGTTTTTGTATGTTTGTTTGTTTCCTTCGCCTCACATCCCTCACATGCACACATAGACTTTACCTAATCTCCTACTCGGGTCCTACAAACTGAAATGTAGGATCTTACAACCGCTTGGTCGTGGTAGGTCTGGGTACGAGACTAGCCTGTTCCTAAGGTTCAGTTGGTTAGACGAAGTGATATAGTAAACGGCGCGATAGAAGCAGTGGAGTGAAAAAACGAGGGAGGTAGCGACCCGACCCATACTTTCCTCGTTCTTTTCATTCCGCCGCTAACATTTCTACCGCAGGTTATTACATGACACGAGGAATTGAAACCTCTGTGAGCTGAAATTTATCGTTTGTTTGGATTGTGTTCTTTTCACGAGTGGAACAAAAAAGTTGTCACGTTCGTTTCCCCTAGTTTAGCGACTCCTTCACCATATGCTGATTTTTGGTGCGTTGCCTAGCACCAAGAGAAAATTAGGAAAGCTCACTATGTCCGATAGGAAAATAATATTTTGCAAAGGCAAACCCTACGTATTGGTGACGCAAATGCGTAAAAACATGGGAAAGACAGGAAAAAAACTGATTGGAAGTGAATCGATATAATAAACCCCTCCTGGCATGTATTTAGATTCGATCGAGGAGAACTTGCTCGAGGTAATCAAGTCAAGGTTTGGTGTTAAACTTTCCGCCCACAGAAATTAATTAAATTGAGACAGCAGAATTTTCTCTTTCGTGGTTTGACTTGATCCGTATGGCCTTTCATATCATTAAGTAAGTTCCTACCATAGAAGTTTTTGTCGTTTTCCTGCTGCTGCGTTCATGAAAACAGCGGCTAAACAAGTAGAGGTTGTCGTTTCACAGTATGACGTCTCTATAGTTTACTCGCATCCAAACATGTTGAATTTATTCTACTGCGTTAAACTTTGATGATTTTGATACTTCTCTCCAAGGCTATGAACTAACAGGTCAGAGAGCCGTAGATATGTGGTACGAAGAGATCAAAGACTACAACTTTGGCAACCCTGGATTTTCTTCAGGAACAGGCCACTTTACCCAAGTTATATGGGTAGGCTCGCAGGAGGTGGGGGTCGCCAAAGCAAGCAACGCTAATGGCACACAATTTGTAGTTGCACGGTACTACCCTGCTGGGAACGTTCTGGGGCGCTTTCCGGAAAATGTCCAGCCCAAAGGGTCTAAGATTTCCAAAAATGCTGGTAAGAAGACGGAACAGCCTCGAGGTAGCAGGCCAGTGGGTGGGAAAGTGCAAGTCACCGTCAATACCAAAGGCGCTACTGACAAACCACGTGAGTTTGACGACGTTTTTCCGAACTAATGTTCATTTGTTCTAATGACTGGTTATCTAAAACTCTACTCCGGATTTCGATCTTGGTCTGAAGTTTTCCTTTGTACTTAAATAAGCAATTTGCACCGAGAGGGGGAGATATGGGAATGCAAGGAAAAATGCTCCAATCTTTTGCGATGCAGACGCTGGTACCAAACGCTGCCTTGGGAATAAAATTTTCTCGCGATACGGGTTTTTTTTCGCTAGTTTTAGTGTATCCCGCGACAGGTTACAGGTTACGAGAGGTTACAAATCTCATTCATGGGTTTTTTGTTGGATTATGGTTGTTTTCATTTTGCTTGTTATCATGCTGATAAGTCGCAACAACCAATCATTCACTTCGTATTCCGCAGAGAACTTTTGTGAAAATCTCAACCTTGCTGCAGAATCTTAACCCCAAAGCAAATGGCGCAAACCTAGACTGTTTTGTTTGAATGCGATAATCAAAGCAATTGATCGTACGAATCTGTTTTGGATGAAGTCCAGATGAATGGTTTGTCGCAAAGACTTGTCTCAGCTACCTGATATCCCCTTATAATTGTTCTTTTGAACTCCTTCTTTTCCTACGTAACTCATTAATATCGTTCATTTTCTGAACTAGAAAGCACCAGGGAATTCAAGAATGAACTTCTCAAGTCACACAACGAAATCCGCACCCAACATGGTGCACCTTCTCTGAAATGGAATTCGAAACTGGCTGCGGAGGCACAATCTTGGGCAGAAGATTTGGCAAGTAGGAACTGTATACAGCCCAGCAGCTCAAATGACTACGGAGAGAATATTGCTTATATGTCCGGTAAGATAGATATTTAGATTTTCTGCAGTTTATACATCCAGGAACAACTAAATTATCAGTTGCGCGCAAGAAAAGAGAAAGAGAGGGAAAACGCACGCAAGTCGTGGACCACTCGCGTGTCTTTTCTCGTGCGCGGCGTCCCGGACGTTTTAGCTGGTCATTAGGCGGTCTCGGTTCCTTTTAACTTAGATACCATGGTAAATCATGTCGTCACTGTGGTAAACTCGAATTCCTCACAGATTTTGAGACAAAAATCACCTACGGCAAAGATAAATCTGTAAGACAGCAAAATTTTGCAAAATGTGAGCAAAGTTGGTACTTGCCAAAAAATTAACTGAAAACATCGATGGAACAACAAATGAAATGAAAACAATCTAGCTTACTACTGACCCTATTTTATAGAATTTCTAGATTCGATTTCATTGTTGCCTTTGTAAGTAATTTGAAATATAATGGAATTTGGCACGCGCCGTTTTTCACATGAAAGATACATTGAGAAGATTGAAAGAAACATTCAGTGATCTAAGTGAAGCGAATTGTAGCACTCTCCTCTATCTCGACCCTTGATTTTCCTCATTAGTTTACTACTTCGTGTGTTTGATAATTTACTCAATGAATCCGCCTTATTTATTGACTGATTTTTTTTTTTTTTTTTTTCGTAGGAGGGCAACTTACAGGGAGAAAGGTAACTGATATGTGGTACGAGGAACACGACAAATACAGCTTCAGAAACCCAGGGTTTTCTTCGACTACCGGCCATTTTACCCAGATAGTCTGGCAAAACTCTAAAGAAATGGGAGCCGGAAAAGCTGTCAGTTCAAGCGGAGCACAATTTGTCGTGGCGCGATATCAGCCCCCAGGGAATGTCCGGGGGCAGTTCCCCGAAAATGTCAAACCGGCAGGGACCGGAGGGGGAGGTGAGTAATAAAGTCCAATTTTTGTGATTTAGGTCTTTGTAAAATACTTGAAAAATGATATTTTTAGCAGCAATTTGAACGCTCAGGCTTTCCTTCGACACTCTAAATTGTTTACTCAATGGCTCCGAGAATTTGATCCATGATTCTCTCTTCTGATTAACCTATAACTCTCCCATCTAACCCGGCGCTGTCTTTTCGAACCCCTCCACCTTTAACAATGGATAATGAGCCCCTGTCTCTTAAAATTTTTGAATTTTTGACTCCCTGTGGCCCGACTCATCTCAAGTGCATATGCAGACTTCACATTGCAGGCGATCGCTTTTTTTGAGGTGGAGGTTCCACCGTATCGTGCCGTCACTTCTTCAGCTGCGCGTAACGACGTAACGTACTTTTAGTGTTGGTCGTTTAGAGCCTCAACGAAAATTCGGTGTGAAAGAATTCACTCTTTTTTCTACGATCTGTGTTATATATGTATTTTTTTGTTGCCTTTCAGGTGGACAAAGTTGTTGTATCATTTTGTGATAAAAGAAATACATGAGATTTAATCTGGTACTGAAGGCTCATCGGTGGAACACCGGAATCGAATTTTTTTTGTTAGACTTCAAAGAGAAATAAACAATAGGTATGCTACAATCGCGGACGAAACATGTTTGGACAGGGTGTTCATTTATGATAGTCTCGCCTCTCAAATCTCTATGGAAAAGAACAAAAATCACACCCCTCCTGTGCCTTATATGAACCAGGATTGGAAAAAGGTTTACTGTAGGTCTACTCTTTATGGTAGCCAATTCAGATTATCGCCTCGGCAATTGATAAAACCAAATATCTTGTACTACCCTCCACTGATGAATCACCACAGTTTCTTTAGAAACCGTTACCCCATTTACACTTGGCGTAGTTGTCTCAACAGTTTTGTCCGCGACTCTCGTGTTAATGCTTCAGAAAATCACGATCTAAAACGGCAGACGGCAAAAAAAAACACTCAATAGATTATACCGCACAGGAGATGTTAATGAAAAGAGAAAATGAATGGAAAGATTGTGAAATAGTTAACATTCTGGTAATCGAGTACGACTGGTGTAGACAGAAGCTAAGTTATTGTCATGAATTTATTCAATAAAATAGACGCAATCAACTAAATAGTTATGATTTCATTTTGCCCTGCTTCATCCTGGTCTCACTTCACTCTTTCGTGGTTGTTCGTTGTAGTAGTTTTTGTTATTGTTGCTGTTATCTGAAGTTGTTGCTGTTGTTGTTTCAGCAAGCTCTCATTAGTGCTGCGGCAAAACCGGTTCTGCTTTGTTTGCCATCTCGCTCCTGGCGGGTTCACAGGCTATCGTTGTTGTTACTGTTTTTATTTTTACTATTTGACGTTGCTTTGTTTTCCCTCGTCACAAAATTTCACCCGATGGGGTGACCTGCCGTGAATTTTATCTGGGTTTAGTCACAATATCTTTGTGCTTAAAAGTCGTGTTTTTGAACCCATCGTTCCTTGACATTATCCCATAGAGCTAGTAAACATTTCCAATGGATCAGTAAGGCCTGAGGCCTAGTTTTCTTGAGGGCATTTACGATTAAGAGCTTATTAATAAACATATAATGTATTCTAATTCAATCATAAAATTAGAAGCTTTTATTCTGATCGTTTGAGTCTTTTGGGATTTTCTGGCTCTGACTCGAGCCTAAAACAAGATGTGAATCATCTAATTCTAGAAACTTGGGCGGTAGATATCTGTCAACTTCTTAATGGGCAACGGCCGGTTGTTACAGTGTTATTCGTGGAATATGCTACTTTCTTAAATCATCACAAAATATATTATTTTTGAGGGAAAAATGCACTTTGTATCATCTTAGAAAGATTTTAAAGTAGTTCAGTAGAGTGTCTCCGCTCACCTCAAAGAAATTCAATCTTCTTTGTTCGTTTTTCACTTAGTGTGCAAGCCTGTCCTCGTAACCCAGGGTTTAATGATCGAGTGGGAGGGAAATAAAAACGTCCTTTGTCCATCGAAACAGCTGTTCTATCTTCCTTTAGCCTTTTCTAAATACTTCCGGGTCTCTGAGGATGATGCTAGTCCTAGATAGTTCGGCTTTGTCATATTCGAATGTTTAACTATCTTTTTTATCAGAAGACCACATAATTTTTTTTCATTTGAGGGAAATTTTCCCGAAATAGTTTATAATTTGATTTCAGTACCAGTTTGATTAGGTTCTTTCAGTATTCGTGTATGACTATGTACGCATTGCGTCCCTATCGTTTCCTTTCGGCGCCTTCAGTCTCTTCAGCGGATGCATTACGAAAGTTGTTCCTTTCACGTGTGCTTTCCATCATGGCGCACTACAACTTCAAGAAGATCACAGTTGTACCTTCGGCAAAGGTAGGGATCGAACGACAATTATAGCTCTTTTTCGAGTTGATATGTATCTAAAAAACCCGTTTTCTATTCAAGGATTTTGTCGATATCGTTCTCTCCAGAACCCAGCGGAAAACACCGACCGTAATTCATCGGTAAGTTGTTTATCTTTAGCGTCAGCTGTTATTTTTGGTTGGGATAAAACGCATCGAATTCAGTGCGATTTTGTCCTGGGTAATTGCTGAAATCTTGGTACACAAGCCTTTTAAACTATTTTTGTTTTCTGACTTGTTTGATTAGCTTATTTAAACCTGTGTGCCTTTCATTCGTCGACTTGAGTTCGAGCTAGCGTAAGCTTATTGTACAATAAAATTTTTCCTACTCAATCAGTCTTACTCTTTCTCCAAAATGTTCTTTTATTTCTTGAAGCGGCTGATAAGTAGCATTTTTTCTTGAACTGGAGATAACTTCCAGTTCAATTTGTATCATCAATCAGACATACAGTCTTTAATGATACTTGTAAATTGCTATAAAGTTTTAGCTGCATTGCATTTCCTAGTGTCTCTGTTACCTCGCAGAAAAGACGTATGGAATCTGCAATTAAGAGAAAATTTTTATTTTTGTCCGTACAAGTACTGGAATCACTTTTTTTCATAGGTTCCAGTGGTGAAGAATTCCAAGTTGACAATTTAATATAGTTTTCTTGATGTATACCATAGCTGTGAAAAAGAACTGTTCTCTGAGGCAGTTAAAGCTCACATGTAACTGATTTTTTTCGACAAAACGAGTTTAAATCAACCAGAGTTGACCTTCACATTGCTCATTCCATTGCAATTGGACAATCACGCTCATTACTGATATTTTCTTGTTTTTATCATTCACTGTATATTTGATTAGAATCAACTTCTTGTTTTTCTGCTAGACACTACAAAATCAGCCGGATTCGTGGTTTTTACATGAGAAAAATCAAGTACACCCAACAGAATTATCATGACAAATTGACACAGATAATCACAGATTTTCCAAGACTAGAGGTAATTGTGCATTGGATAATTAATTTTAACTGTAGTCAGTTACTCAGGTGATCCTGAGGCAATCGGTGACTTCAATTTTAACCAATTATAACTCTGTCTGACTTACACCTATACGAACAATAAATTAAATGAAAGTTGTGTTTTTCAGGATATCCATCCTTTCTATGCTGATTTGATGAATGTACTCTACGACAAAGATCATTACAAGCTGGCTTTAGGACAAATCAACACCGCCAGGCACTTGATTGACAAGTAAGCATATTTGAATAAACAGTAAGTATGGTGGGAACCTTTGTTTTGGGACTCTTCTCTTGATGGCCAATTCTCCATTCTGTGAACACAACTTTTGGTCTTGAATAATAAGATGAGCACAAACATGAGCATAGTATCGTCACTTAAGAACATTTCCAAAATTTGGACTTTGGTAGTAATCAGTTGCCAATGATCTAAGAGATTGAATTCCAATGTAAAACTTCAATCTTCAAACTGATCAATCTAATTTTGTTCATGTTTCTTTTCTGTCAATTTTACTTTATAGTGTTGCTAAGGATTATGTGAGGCTTATGAAGTACGGGGATTCACTGTACAGATGTAAACAGTTAAAACGAGCAGCTTTGGGAAGGTGGGTACCCTGTGCAAGACTTAACTGTGATATTTTCTTTAATAATTAGTCTGTATTTTGTATCAGATCTGCACTCTACTGTTCTGTCAGACTAACCTTATCGTAAAATGGTATGATGTATGTGCAGTGTACTTGTTAAGCAATAAAACAGCAGAGATCAATACATTATTTGGCAGCAATGTTGGTCTTTGAGCAACCGTTCAGGTATCCCTCCTCTATCCCAAAAACACTCTACTGATACTAAGTTAGGGTTAAGTTTGGATTAGGGGAGGGGTAGGTGTGCTCTGTTGAGATACTGACATTGACCCTATCACACTAATACACATACATGTATCTCTTTGTAATATTAAGTATACCGAAGGTTTTAATTGTCATAAATATGCTTTACGGCCTTGAAGTGTACCATCTAAAAGTACATGTAAGAAGTGCTGTTTAACCTCAACAATGTTGGCAGTTAATAATTTTCATGTTGATTTTCTTCTAAGGATGTGTACAATTATGAAGAGGCAGAATCAGAGCTTGCAATACCTGGAACAAGGTTAGATTGTTTTTACTGACCTATCAACAGCTAGTTTGCTGGATTTCAAAATATTCTTGGAGGATAGCAAAATATTTTTATTGATTTGTTTAACTTATGTGAAAGACGTTTACTGATAAGAATCAATTCTGCAGACTTGTATACATCTGTGATGTTTCTGCATCAATGGCATATGTTACATGTTTTATTACACCCATTTTGAAATCACTGGTTGTCCCTCTAATTGCTGCAATTTATTCACGAATTGCACCATTTTTTGCCTTAAATCACATCTTTTTCCCAGCCAATGAGGAGGCTACACTAAAAACAAACAACCAATTAGATTTCAAGGCTTGTTTTAAGTAATCAATGAAATTGCAGGAAAATGAAAGACAAAGAGTATCATGTGGCAAATTTTGCAAATTTTGTTTCCAAAACTCTTATTTTTTACCCCCAAAAATGGAAGATTTAATTTCAAACCAGCTCAGTACTACATTAATAACATATTTGAACTGACCAAATCCTGTATGTGGGCAATTTCAAAATGGATGTAATAAAGTGGTAATTGAACTTCTTGTTGTGCAATTTTGGTCTGAAATCATACTTGTGATTTCAAATCAAACTTGCACAGTGTACTTGTTTGATTTTGAAATCATGCGTATGATTTCAGCCCAAATTGCACTCCACTCAGTTCAATTACCATTATTAATGCTGACTAAATCTTGATAGAAATGATGATATAACTTAATTATTACATGCATTTTATCTACCATACTGAAAAATTGCAACTTACATAAATAATACTTGTAAACAGAGGTAAAAAAGATGACATATCTGTCATCCATTGTTTACAATGATCACACTTAAATGACTGTTTATTAGCTATCCTTTTATTACGATTTATTATCATTTTATTTCTGCTTACATGCAGTTCGACAGCATGTGGCAAGACTTCCATCAATAGACCCAAACACAAGAACTCTACTAGTCTGTGGGTAAGTCATAACTCTACTGATAGGTACCTGTGTTTAAATTTCTATGCTAGAACTTTATTAGAATACATGTACAGGGTACAAAGAAACTTCTTAATACATAAGCTTTAGCATTGAACTTCACAGGCAAATGTTTCTCCAAATCTCTTCTTATGCGATAGATACATGTACTAATAAGGAAACTAAAAAAAATTCAAACAAGA